CATTCAAAGTCGATGACGATGTGCTCGTCGACGCACGCCACTTACAGCTCGAAGCAGATATGCTTCGCAAGTTCAGGCGTCGTTTCTTCGGTCCATGCCGCATCCTTCAGGCCGTCGGCTCTGATACTGCCGCTAGTCCGGTCAGCTTCCGTGTGAAGCTACCTGATTACCTTCGACAAGCTCGCGTACACGATGTTTACCACGTCTCCTTGCTGCGTCCTTATCGCAGACCGTCCGAGCGCTTCGCCGGACGCCCTTATGAGCGCCCTCCACCTATCATGGTGGACGGTCACGAGGAGTTCGATGTTTCCGACATTGTATCACGCCGAGTTACCGACGATACCCCTCCACGCATCGAGTACCTTGTGCGTTGGAAGGGCTACCCTGATGAGGAGGCTACTTGGGAGCCCCTCGAGCACTTGCAGYACGCCAGGATGTTGGTGCGTGCATATGATCGTGCTCGTCGTGCTGGGACATCTGCTTCTACTCAGCCGACTGACCCTTTTCCTCCTCCTCCGGCTTAGGAGATCGCTGAGGATGAGCCCGCTCCCTCTGAGGCCGTTCCTCAGCCGCAGGTGGTCGCCTCCGAGCGTCCACAGCGCACTCATCGTCGCCCTTCACGTTACGATAACGGACACTCTTATCCTCCATCTTTCCCCACTGACTCACACCATCAGGTACTCCATCATCAACTCTTCTTCAGGATGTCAGCGTTTTGCGGCTCTGCTTCGACATCCACTCGACTGCTACTTCATCGACGTCATCGACCGATTCGACGACTTCAGCTACCTTATCGGCTTCAGCTACTTTGGACGTGACTACTTCACGCCACCACCCTACCCTGTACATTCCCTTGCATCTGTCGCATGATGGTTCTCACTTAGCTGGGTCTCTTTGAGTTGGGCTCTCCCTTGGTATCGCATAGGCATTGGGACCGTAGCGTTATCTTGGCTTCCCTGCTCCCAGATCTAGCTCCTTCCTCCCCCAGTCGGTGAGTTGTGTGCATGTTTCCCTCACCCACTGCCCTCATCACCTTAGTGCCGGCCCTTGCATGCCCTCAGTTAGGCATATCTCCACCCTATTCCAGGCTCCCCCTTTTCATGGTCGACCCTGCATGGTGTCACCCTTGTCGAGCATTACCCGCCTTGATGGTCTATCTGTTAGGGTCATTGGTTTTGTTTCGCTACCACTCTCCCACCTTGAGCCTGATGACCTATCCCACCTTCATGTGTGACTGCCCTTAGGAGTTTCGATTCTTAGGCTGCATTCACCCCCTCTGAGACCATCCCACTTTTAGTGGTTCAGCGACATGACATTATCTTCTGACATATTGCTCTTCTCCTTTCAGCACTGAGGCCACTGCCTCCAGGACTTTAGGAGTGTATCATACTACAATTCATTTTCTGCTGTTAGCTAGGATATGTATACCAGACATTTGCTTTTCTTTTGACATTATATAGCTTAGGATGCATCGCATGGACTCTGCATGCAGCTTGCTCCGCATCCTAGATTTCTCAGCTTTCTTTATTGCAGAGTTCCGTTGCTTTTGCGGATAGCGTGTTTATGGCTCTTGCGATCCATTACAGGTCTGAGGATCGTGCAGCGGGCCTTCATCTGCCCTGGCCCATAGCCAAGGCCTATTTGGCTATTTGCCAGTCCGGCCTGTGGGACCAGGCCGTGGCCTGACCCCACAGGCCGTGCAGTTATTCAGTCCAGTCTAGTCCTGCCCAGTACCACTGTCGGTACCAGGCCAGTCCAGTCCAGTCCAGTCAGTCCGCTGGGGGTATACCCCAGCTGCAGTCTGTTTTGTGGCATTCTTCATTTGCACAGATTGGAGTACGTGCGTGTTGAGTCTGCGTTGGAGCTGTGTTGTCCCTTCCAGCTCCATCTCCATCTCCCCCATCCTCATCCCTTCGTCTTGATCCTGACGGACCACCATCCCGGCGGGTCCGTCACAACCAGCCTCTCCACGTGCAAGATTCAAGCACATGCGCGGTAGTTCCGCCGTCGGACAACGAACCGATTGCTACGTCAGCCCTTTTATTGGAGGATCCGTCAACTTGGGCGAGTCTTGGGGAACTCGACCCGTTGACGGTTGAGGACTTTCAATGGTTGCCTCTTCCCTCCACCGGTTCCTTGCCAACACCGCATTACAACGCCTTGATGGGACACTTGCATGAATACTTGCACGCTGCAGTACCACCTCCGTCGACGGATGGCGGAGTAGCGGTTGTTGATCTTCGTAGCTATCTTGCGAAGATCTACCGCGAGTACGCAACGCAACGGTACGTCGACATCGATGCGCCGCTACTCTACATCCGCATTCAGATCGGAAAGGCGATCTGCAGTGCCTTGATCGATTGTGGAGTGTCTCGCAAGTACATCAGCCAAGACATTATGGCACACGCCGGGCTAGGATCGCGCGTTCGAAGGAAAAGTCAACCTATGCACGTCACGTTGGCCGATGGTCACACGCAAAAGTCAATCGACCGTTGCGTCGACTCCGTGCCCGTGTACTTTACCCCGCTAGCATGCGAGCCCCTGTCTTTCGACATATTGGACACTAAGTTCGATATGATCTTAGGCATGCCATGGCTGCAAAGCGAAGACCATCTGGTGAACTTTTATCGACGCACCGTTCACGTTCGTGATCGGCGTGGCGACCTAGTCGCGTGTACGGTGCCGCTTCCTCATCCTTCAATTGGTTGTCACGTGGTCTCGCGGCGAGCATTCGCCAATCCATCCGGCAAAACGACATCGAGGAGATGGGCATATGTTTTCTTCACGCCCTCCCACCCGGTGATCAGCCCAAGACGGACACATCGGACCTACGCATCATTGAGCTTTTGGACAGCTATAAGKATGTCTTCCTTGCTCCCGCCAAAGTCGTCGGATCGGCCCATACACCACGGGATCACTCTCGAGGATGGTGTCGTACCTCCGCGCGGATGTATCTACCGCACGAGCGAAGAGGAGCTTCAAGTGCTTCAAGAACAACTAGATGACCTCTTGGCCAAGGGCTGGATTCGCCCTAGCTGTTCGCCATATGGTGCTCCCGTTCTCTTCGTCCGAAAGAAGAACAAGGACCTTCGGTTGTGCATCGACTATCGAAAACTTAACGCGCAAACACTCAAGAATGTCGGCCCTCTCCCTCGGATCGATGATCTTCTCGAGCAACTAGGTGGCGCCAAGTACTTCTCGAAGCTTGACCTCAAGTCCGGATAACACCAGATCGAGATCCATTGAGATCCAACCAAAAGATCGGTACAAAACCGCATTCAAGACACGGTATGGGCACTTAGGGTGGATCGCCATGCTTTTCGGTCTCACCAATGGCCCGGCTACTTTCCAAGCGGCTATGACGACAAAATTTTGCGACCTGCTTAACCGCACCGTACTCATTTACCTTGATGATAACTTGGTTTATAGTCGGTCGCTGGACGAGCACCTTCGCGCCGTTTTGCAGCGGCTCCGTATCGCCAAGTACAAGGCGAACCGTGACACGTGCGAGTTTGCCCAGCAAGAGCTGGAGTACTTAGGCCATTACGTTACACCGCAAGGCATTTGTCCGCTCGTGGACAAAGTACAAGCCATTCAAGATTGGTCGGACCTCAAGTGTACTACTGACGTCCGTTCCTTTCTCGGCTTAGCAGCCCAACGGATCGTTGTACCATTGTCGCGACTTCAGTCCCCCTTGGTGCCCTTCGAATTCAACGATGAAGCCTGGCATGCGTTTCATACGCTGAAGACGGCTTTGCTTCAAGCTCCCGTCTTAAGCATCTATTACCCGACCTTGCCTACCAAAGTGACTACAGCCGCTTCCGGCTACAGCATTGGCGCGGTTTTGGAACAGCATGACGACACAAATTGGCATCCAATTGAGTACTTCAGCCAAAAGATGGCGCCCATCAATTCACTTTATGATGCGACGAATTGTCGCGACTTCAGTCCCCCTTGGTGCCCTTCGAATTCAACTATGAAGCCTGGCATGCGTTTCATACGCTGAAGACGGCTTTGCTTCAAGCTCCCGTCTTAAGCATCTATTACCCGACCTTGCCTACCAAAGTGATTACAGCCGCTTCCGGCTACGGCATTGGCGCGGTTTTGGAACAACATGACGACACAAATTGGCATCCAATTGAGTACTTTAGCCAAAAGATGGCGCCCATCAATTCACTTTATGATGCGAGGAAGAAAGAGCTACTAGCTTTTGTCACGGTACTGAAGCGGTGGCGTCACTTTCTCCTCGGGCGTCGACGATTCACGTGGGCAATGGACAACAATCCATCGACTTATTACAAAACGCAAGACACGGTGAGCATCACGATCGGTCGCTGGATGTACTCCAAGCATATACCGGGCTCCTCGAACAAGGCAGCGGATGCTCTCTCGTGAAGACCTGATCTTTGCGCCTTGGTGCACTCCACATTCGGCCTCGACGAGGACCTGCAACAGCATTTCTTAAACGGCTACAAGTCCGATCCGGGATTCTCCACACTTTATGCGGACTTTTCATCGGATCACCCGCCGACAAGCAATTACCGCATTGTCAACGGTTACTTGCTTCTCCATACACGAGGCAAGGACTTGTTGTGTGTTCCCCAAAACCGCATCTTGCGCACTCGCCTCCTTGGCGAATACCACGATTCGCGGTTGGCGGGACACCTTGGCGTCGCATGCACTCTTGCACGACTCCGCTAGCGATTTGATTGGTCGGACAGCATCAGCGACATCAACCGGTACATTCAGTCATGTGCAGTTTGCCACCGGAACAAAGGGCACCATCAGCTCCCGTACGGCAAACTGAAACCATTGCCGATTCCTCGAGAACCAGGTCTCTCTATTGCTATGGATGTGATCGGCCCTTTCCCTCGCGATTGCTTTGGCCATGATGGTATTCTCACGGTCGTTGACCATTTGAGCAAGTACGCTCGATTTCTTCCATGCAAGTATCATGCGACGGCCCCCGAGCTCGCACGGCTTTTGCATACCGGCTGGTTTTGCAGCCACGACGTTCCAAAAGACATCGTCAACGACTGCGACACTCGTTTCATGTAAACCTTTTGGACGATACTCATGGTGGAATCCGGCACCAGCATGAAACCAAGTTCCGCACGACATCCTCAAACGGCTGGGCAAACGGAACATGCGCACCAGACTGCGCAGATGATGCTTCCCACACTCATCCGCCCGGATCAGAAGGATTAGGTTGACCACCTTCCCGACATCGAGTTCGCCTACAACACTTCGGTGCACCCGACGATTGGCGTGACTCCATTCGAGTTGCATCACGGTGGACGGAAAGGACGTATCTTCGCAGACATTTTGCTTCCACGGGCTGCCGATATCGACGCCGCTTGCTCCCCCCCTTCGACACGGAAGTACAGGGAACTGCTGGCCAAAGCCCGCGCAAATATGCAAAAGGCTCAGGTCCATATGCAGCAGCAAGCGAACCGGCGTCGCATCCCATGTCCAATCCGCGCTGGCGACCTGGTTTGGGTCACCTCCAAGGAATTCGAGCTCGAGCAGCACGTCTCGCGCAAGCTCCTCCCTAAGTGGTTTGGGCCATGGAAGGTCAATTCAGCAGCTGGCGACGACCCCACGGATCCATATTTCATAATCGAGATTCCCCCGCATTTGACGGTCCACCCGATATTTCACCCTTCAAAGTTGGCGGTCTACACTCCACCCTCCTCAACGGACTTGTCGGGCAAACGGTCACATGACCCTCCTTCCTTCAATGGATGACCCTCCTTCAATGGATGGTCACCAGGAGGTCGACCACGTTCTCATTCATCTCAAGCATGGCAACAAGCCAATGCAATACAAAGTTACATTCAAGCAATGCGGTCCTGACGACACACGCTGGATTTCCTGAGCTGACCTGAAGGCAACAGCACCCCTCGTCTTCGCACATTACGAAAAACAGCGACTTGCTAAGGAAGCTGCCCAACCTGCCCGCCCCGTACGGACATCGGACAGACAGCTTCGCCCTCGCAATTGGCTCGGTCTTCAAGGGGGGGAGTGTACGACATACTGATACCACACGGGTCCCAATTAGGGCCCGGTTCTGTAGCATGCACGATTCAGGCCTACTTACCGGGTCACGACGAGCCCAGTTTACGTCCAAGTAGGCCTAGGACCCGTCGATTCAGTTTAGGGTCCGGTAGTCCTCGTTCAGACCCTACCAGACCCGACGGCTAGTTGGTTAGGCCAGGTACCGGTTCATCGGTAGGCCCAACCAACGGCGCAGTTTGACGCCCATTCTTCAGATTCCGAAATCGGATCTGAACCGTTGGGCCTGATCAATGCTCCGGACCGTAAGGACCTCAGTAGGACTGAGGCCGACCCAGCACTATAGCAGTTGGGTACCAGCCTCAGTCGGTAGGTTGGTAGACAGGAAACTAGTCTTCAGGATTAGCGCAACGCTTCAACGTTAGCAGGACTAGCGCAGCGCAGCAGCGTTAGCATGAGCAGCAAAGAGAGGACAAGCACAGCGGCAAGGAGGAACCAACGCAACAGTTGGCACAGCGCCAGCCACCGGCCCAGCCCGCGGCCCAGCGCCAACCACCGGCCCAGCCCGAGGCCCAGCGCCAGCCTCCTGCAACGCCATAGCTACCAAGACAGGTACCAAGGAGAAAGGCCTCGCCTTCTCCCCCTCCTCCTCCGTCACTCTCTCTCTCTCTTTCTTTCTCTCTCTCTCTCTCTCTCTCTCTCTCTCTCTCTCTCTCTCTCTCTCTCTCTCTCTCTACCTTCTAAGTCTAAGTCTGCTCCTGGTTACTCCTACGGGACTGCTAGGGTATGAAGGATGGTGACGAGTTCTGATGACATTGGAGATAGCGACATCGAGAATGTAGGTTGAGGACTACTCTGGGGATCTGATATCATCTTCTTCTGAAGAAGCACCTTGATATTGTGAGATCGATATCTGAGACACTGCAAGACTCTGTGTTCGCGACATTTCGGATTTTCGTTACTTCTGACATTTCAAGATACTATTTTTGGGAACATCAAGTTGACGTCATCTTCCCTCTCCTCCTCCCATCGTCTCACCTCCCTCCATTCATCCGTGTATGAGAATTGCCCCGGCGTTTTCTTTTATATCCAAGGCCAGGGCTTCACACTACCGATGGATGTTTGTGAGTGTTTCGTTGCAGTCTGAGTCAGGTCTGAGTCAATCCATGTATCTCAAGTCTTCCCCTGTATTTGTATTAACTCTGTATTATCTGGTCGGTTCTGGGAATCTGCACCATACTTATGACTGTGTTTCACGAGTCTGCAACATTGTGTGTGTGTCTGATTCATTCCGATTTTGCACACACAGAGAGAGAGAGAGAGAGAGAGAGTTTTCCAGCCACGCATGCAGAGAGATAGAGAAAGGCTATTGATTCATTCCAATTTTGCTCATCCTATCGATCTCTCTGTGTGCATGGCTGGAAATCCCTCTCTCTCTCTCTCTCTCTCTCTCTCTCTCTCTCTCTCTCTCTCTCTCTC